AATGACGTCGAAAGATTTCGTGAATGGCTCAGTATGGCTGGCTTTTGTTGCCTGATTACCTGAATAAAGCTAGATGACCGTCGAAGGCCACACATTTATATAAGTGTTGAGTTTCATGTGATGAATGGTCTATGTTCGTTTGAACATAGTGAACTAGAATCATAAAAGTTTTTCTACAGTTCTATATAACCTTCTAGACCTATCTTATTCATCGTTTGTATTCTCAGCATCTGTATCATCAGATACGTTTGAAAATCATATTTAAAACCTTCACAGTGGCCGACATCATATTTCCTCCATTTTCACGATTTTCAATGAATATCCACTTTCATCTTACACCATCTTCAATGTTAAATTTCATTGTTCTTCTGGTGTTACAAACACTGTTTGTCTCTTATTGACTTGGGAAATATGTTGAAGTGCGGTATCCAACTTTGTCATTGAAGACGTTTAATTCCAGGGATCTCACTTTAAATAATCCGTTCTCGTGTTGCTGTTTGGGATGTTCTGCAACTACCTGGCAGTGAACTCTCTCCTTTTGCACAGTAAGAACACACGTTTATGTTTGCTAAATAATAAATAACTATATAACATTCACACCAGAACACGATAATTTTATTGTGGTGGTGGAGGCATCGCACTGACCTTTCATCAAGGTGTCAGAAGACGTGAAAAGGCTTGGGGTCAAAGGGCGTGAAAAGACATGGAATCGAAGGGCGTGAAAAGGCATGGGGTCAAAGGACGTGAAAAGGCATGTGGTCAAAGGGCGTGAAAAGGCATGGGGTCAAAGGACGTGAAAAGGCATGAGGTCAAATGGCGTGAAAAGGCATGGGTTCAAAGGGCGTGAAAAGGTATGGGGTCAAAGGGCGTGAAAAGGCATGGGGTCACGTACCGGACCACATGGAATCTTCCCGCGGATACTCCGGTTCCTCTCCTCCTACCGAGCCAACAAGAGTGACATGCATAATCTTATAACTTGCTTTACAATAGTTGTTAATTAAATAAAGCTGATGTTAAATGATCATTTTCATTCAATCTATGCCAATGTGTCTATCCAAACAAGACCATCCTGTCCTTAATGCCGTCGAAAAATTAGTCGCATTTTTCTCTGAGCGTTTCTAGCTCACGGTGTACAGTCTCAATAGCTTAGTTCGTATGTTTATCATTGAACTGTAGGGACAAAAAAATCTTCCGAAAAAATAGAAATTACGATAGTATTAAAGCATTGTTGTTGTTAAGACGTACTCAACATACCGGCTTATCTATGAAATTAAACAGGAAAACAATCAACAATCGGATAACAGAACGGATTAGATAAAGTATTTCAATTTTCGCTTTTCCGTTTTCCTTCTCGTTTCCATAGAAACAGAGTATTGACAGATGCAGCACAATCTGTAAGAATTAACACATCGGATATTCTAGCTTGACCACGTAATCATGTCTGTCTCTCTTATAAGGCAGTAGGCTATTGAAATGTCTTTAAATAATTATCCTCGTTTCTCAATAGCGTAAATCCGATACACGATGCCTTATTTCCATGAGGGGAAAAACGGTCATTTTGTGCTCATTACAAGTTTCATCAGAGACGGATGAAATGTCTTCTGTTTCGCCAATGACACTCGCCATATAAATCTGGATGAATGCAAAGTAATGTCGCGCTCTGAAGTGACATGTTGTTACGGCTGTTGTTATACTGCTCGGGAATCTGCGGGAAGGCCGATAACTCTAACCCACAATTTTTATAACTCTTCAGAGAAGGAGATAACTATTAAAACACAAACACGTGTTTGTGGAATCTTAAAGCGAGCGCTTTATGGTATTGTGTGTGTGGTTATTCACCTCCAACAACTTGCCCATACGATCAACTTCAAACGAAAGTGTGGCTGGAACTTCATTGCCCACAATACACTTACCGCAGCAGGCAGTGAGAACTGCCGACCCGTTCAATGGTTAAAAATTATTTTGACCGACAAGATCTTTTTTCAAGCATTCATGTGGAAATAAAATCATACTAAAAATCGCAAATAATTCGTACAATTTTTTAAAAAAAATATGTGTAAACGGTTTGAAATATATACTTTCAAAAATTTGTTGAATGTCTTTTCTTTTAACCATTCATAATAAAAGCACACTTTATTTCGGTTATTTCGGTATTTCCGGTTAAGAACACGTGAACTTTCTACATTCTGATTGGTAGGAAAACAACCCAGAGAAATTACCTTATACTTGGCATGGTCCAAATAGAAAATGGAATCAGCGGGGGACATTTTAACTAATTGGTGTTACTTATAACTTTCATAAAGAAAATATATATGAGGATAATTTCATAGAAAAAGTACAGTCTATAAAAAAACTACTTGGTAATTGGTCATTTAGGAATCTTTCATACATAGAGAAAGTTTCTGTTATAAAATCTTTAACCTTACCAATCTTAATACAGACGTTAACTGTTCTTCCAGATCCACCAGAACATATCTATAACGATATACAGTCGACATTTTTTAGAATTTTATGGAAGGGAAAGATTGATAAAATTTAAAGAAATGTTATGTACGGTGATTATAATGAAGGTGAATTACGTGTTCCTCATGTGAAATCTTTTTGTCATGCACTGAAACTTTCCTAGATTAAAAAAAAACTTAAATCCCATTCATTGCTCTCCTTGGAAAACTTTCGTTTTGGATAAGATAGAATTATTTGGCGGGGACAAAATTTTTAGAATGACAAAAGAAGAGTTGACTAGAGTTTCCAATTTTTTCAACACATTTTGGAAAGAAGTACTAATTATATGGTCATCTTTGGTCGAAAATTCACCTCCCACCACCCCTCAACAAATAGTTTCTCAACCAATTTGGTATCATGATTGTGTAAAAATAGATAGAAATCCTATGTTTTACAGGCATTGGTGTTTAAAAGGAGTTATTTTTATTAATGGCATTGTGATAAATAACCAGTTTATGACTTTTGAAATGTTAAAAGAAAAATATGATATTGATACGTCTTTTGTTGAGTATTATGGCATGATAAATGTCATACCAAGAGAATGCAAAAGGGTTATAAGAGAGCAAAATGATGTACCTATTCAAACTATTACTTGCAAAATCATTGCATTCATTAATAGAAATAACAAAACATTTTAATAAGTTTTTGTCTTGTAATAATAAAACAAAACCAACTAGTCAAAGGAAGTGGAATGTTTTGCGGGTCAATATTTCTGATGAAGTATGGCAAACTTATTATTTATCCCCTAGACTTACCATTGATGAAACTAAACTTCAGAATTTTCAGTTTAAGATATTGCACAATATTTTAAACCCTAACGTTAAATTAATGCAAGCTAAATTGGTTGAAACCGAAAGATGTACATTTGGTAAAATGGAAGAGAAACAATGTTACATTTATTTTGGATTGTTGTTATATTAAGGCTTTTTGGTCGTCATTCTTTAATCTTTTGCAAACAAAATATGGTATAGAACTACCTTTTGATTCTCAATCCATACCTTTTGGGATTGGTACTGCTAGATTTGATTACGAGATAAATAATGCTTCTCATCTATTATTGTAAACAAAGGGAAACTATTTCGTCCTTTTCAACAGGAAAGTTATATTTATACTGCTATAAAAATAGAGGACATTGGGTTGTACTATTACAGTCCTAACAAAATGGAGAAATCAAAAGGAAATGGAACTTTATTGTTGTCAGTCTGGCGTATGCGTTAGCTTTTACATATCACGGTTTTGGTGAAGGTGTTGAAGGCATTTGTCGTATAACTTTTAAAATTTTACTAGGAAACTAGGTTATCTGGTGTCAGGGTCCCTGTGGGATTTAACTACCCCTCCCCGTTGTATTGGGGTACTAGTATTCGTTATTGGGGTCATTGTGGGATTAACTTTCCTTTCTCAGAGTCGGACAAAGGAGTGTTTCGTGGAAAATCTGACACGTTTTCGATTTGTTAAACATCTTGAAGTATTGTTCATTAAATCCCCGTTAAAATACAGTCTGGACATGTATCTTTGCACACGAAATTCACATAGACTGGTTATGTATGTTTGCAGAAGTCAGTACTGAGTTGAAACAACTTGTAGTCCAACCCTTTTTGCATGTTTATGGTTTGAATACGTGCACGTTTACAGCAAACAAATGTTGTCCCCTTTTCATTTTGAACACATATATCATACTACAAAATGTAAAACTAGCAGTACTAGATACAAACATCCTAATCTCTAAGTAATTTAGGGACCATATTTTTCTTCATAAAACCACTCCGGCAACAGACATTGTCATCGCTTGACGTTATTTACATAAGTATTTATGCCGGAATATATTGGCAGAGTCCTCGCAAGTGCAAGTTTTGACCTAGTGAAAGTTTCAGCTCATCTTATCATTTCCTTATTTACTTGTAGAACGTTCGTTCTATCTGCATATTTATCGATAAAATATATATATATTTAAATAAATAAATAACGAAAATTAATTGTTTTTAGTTTATTATTTTTTCAACCACTCAGTAGTATCAAGTTGTATTTTCATACGTACGACAAACATTTTTCTGTTGTTTCTTTGTAATCAATAAAATGACGGCGAATTCGAGAAAAAATAGCAAACAAATGTGTTAAAACTGCATCGCTAGGCCTATGTCCACCATTTAAAAAATCTAGTCAGGTGCGGGTCGTCGTCCGAAATTAGAAAATGGAAGAGGGCATCACTCATTTCAAACATATACAATATTTCTACGAATTTCAAGACGATCAACACATGCTAAAAACACAGATAAAGAAGTTATGATAAAACACATGAACATCGGACTTGGCCTATTCGTGGAAAGCGAAAGTAGAATAGGAAGTGCAAATAGAAGGAAGTGTCGAATTTGTACGGCTTTGATTGGTTAATTTTGAAGAATTCACTTCGCCAATCCTATTTCCGCTGTAGAGGTAAAATGGCGACGCGTCCGGTGTGATAACTTTCTTCGAAATCCTAAACTTATCAACAACAGTGAATTATGCAGTCGACAGTGGAAAAGGAGTTTGCTCAATATGATCAGCACAATCTCTGGCTACCGATATATCAGGTAAAACTATGTAAGGTGAACGATTCTTTCAGTTTAACACTGAAATGCAGTAGTACGAAACATTTTCTGTGATTTGCTCTACATGATTATAGTCAATTGTCAAACGTGTGTATATGGACTCATATAGGTCACTAGGCCTACCTGAATGTGATTAAGTATTGTATCGAACGAATGACATCTTCTGTTGTGCAGACAATTCTTAAGTGTGTTAAAACATGCGACATTGGCATAACTAAATCGTTTGCAGTAATCTCAATGCTGAACACGTTTCCCATGTTTCAGATTTAACTTCTTTCATTGATAGAGTTGAACTTTACATGCATGAGTGATTGGCTATGTAATTATTTCACGAATGTGTTAGCCCTATCTGAGTTAAGATGATGCATTGGAACCCCAAGGCGTCCTCTCAACTAAGAGCTGAAAAATCCTCTCGAACACATTAATGCATCATGCACAGATGAGCGAAAGTTCTTCTTGATGGAAGAAATCCTTTTAAGTATTTGATTTTTATTTAAGCAGGTGTGTAAATGTAATCATTTTCAAAATTAAAATAAAACTTGTTAGTTATAGATTCAATGGATAGCACATATTTTTTCCTGTTACACATTTTTCAAATCCATTTGACCTACCAGAATCCAAGAATTTCAATAATCTGATAATTCTATGTTAAGTTAAAAGCTCATATGAGTTTTGTAATGGCACATACTAGTGTCAATATAATTTCCCATGTAAATATTAAAATTAAATTCATTTTATACAGGAATCTATGTGACTAGTAAAATTTGGACTCAATATTATTACATTCTGGAAAGAAAGAACACACAGAACAGACACCATGAAATCTAGACATAGACAAATGCTATTTTATGCATCCAAAATAACATGTTTCATATTCTTGTTAAAAGCAAATAATGTGTTGTGGGCCTGTTTTTCATATAAAAAGTACAAAACAATTTTTAGCTTACATGTTACAAGGGAGATAATCTAAATATACTCTTAAACTCCCTATATACTGTGTTACAAGTCCATTTATAAACAGATTACTATTGTAAAGAAAAACAAGCCATGCAAACTACTACCTGCTGATCACTCCAAAGCAGAACAGGGTAGGTACGGTAATATATTTACAGGTGCAACACTGAACAGCAGGACACTCTGCACTAGTAAAATCCCAATTCCACTATGAACTATTGTTTAAGGCCATATGTATTTCACATACAATGCCTTCACATTTCAGTGTCATGTTTAAGTACTCTCCCCCACTGAAATGCTCATAGTGAAAATCAAACTTAAATAAAAATACATTTCAATTTATATAGTATATAATATGGAAGCTGTAATGTTTGATGATTGCACAAAGTGACAATTCTTGTTAATGCATGCATTTCACTGGTAGATTATTATATCCATCATGCAGATTTTTCAAGAAAGATCATATTTCTGTTGGAAAACTTCAGATAGAAAAATTACCATTTGGGATTTAACAAAAATTTTCCCTCAATACAACACTGGTGAGAAATGCATTGGTTCTCAGGGAAAATAGGTGGGCGACCAGCAGTGTTGTTTAAACCAGCATGGAATCTTAGACTGATTGATAAGATGGTCATCTAACGACCTTGTTGTATTGAATAGTTGATTGTGAATGTCCTTCATACTGTTTTGAAACAATACTGCCTATTTTCCTGTTTACATACTACCTGTGTGAATCTTGAATCATCTCATGTATTCCCATACAACTTTTTTGAAAACATTTCAATCCTGCCATTTTAATGATTGAATAGCTTTTCAAATTAAATACCACAATTGGGCATTAGTGTCAATATCTATTAGTCTACAAACACCTGTTACATTGAAATACACATATATGATAAGTATAAGCATTAGTAGATATATAGATAATTAAGTATGACTTTATTAGGACTGTTCACTTGTCTAAAATACTAATTTGAAATCTGCAAAGTATTGGAAATAAATACCATACATAAATGAAGTATGATGGGAAAAGGATTATCAAGTCAGTTAGAAAACTAAATTGAAATTTGTCTGGAAATTGAAAATAATTACATCACAATGAAAGTTTACATAGATTGTAATACAATTTTGTTGCCAATTTATATAATTGTCTGTTTTACTTTTTTTGGGAAAGCCAGTGTTATTTCAACAAACATTAAGATAATGATCAGGTGTTTATATTGCTCTTACAGGAAGTTTTCTTGGTTGGTGATAAGATACCATGCTGCATGTAGTTACTGTCAAGTATGTTTTTTAAACCTGGTCATAAATAATGGTATGAGAGAAATATCAGCATTTCATCCATGGATAGAACTTTGGTAACTATGAGAATTTGGATATGTACATATATATATAAAGCCTTACACAGATTCCCTAGATTTATGGCTTATAGCCATTTTGGATATTTTGACAAGAAATACTCCACACTGTTACCTTCACACATAGGCCATCTAGACTACTTCAACCGCATGACTAATCTGAATTATTCTGAAAATCGATAAACCTTTTTTGTATTGGACAGAATTTCATTAACTGTAGACCTATATAAAAATAATTACTAGAGTGGTAAAATAATTTAGGTGACTTCTGTAATCTGAATAAATTAAGGGTACCTGCATATATCAAGCTATACTTTGAGAATGACTTGCCATATATAAAAATTTAACATCACATTCTGGAAGTTCCTTAAAGTAATTATTAATAGATACCGGTAATTATTAATCTAAAAATAAACAGTTTTCTCGAAAATTAAAAGTATTCACTCAAGTGGTCTAGTACAGTATTTCTGACTGAAAAGTTAGACACCTGGTCCAGTACAGTATTTCTGCCTGAAAAGTTAGATACCAGGCCCCACTTGTATAAAACATCTCAACTTGAGATTTCCTCAAGTCGAGATTTTCCTCAGCTAATATCTCCTTGAAAATATCCTGTATGAAAATTCCTCAAGGAATTTCAGGACATCCTAGCCAATGCCTTCCTCTTGTTCCTTGAGAAAATTTTATACAAGCCGTTTTTGAGGAGATATCAGCTGAGGAAAATCTCGACTTTAGGAAATCTCAAGTTGAGATGTTTTATACAAGTGGGGCCTGGTCAAGTACAGTACTTTTGACAGTGGTTAGACACCTTTTCCAGTACAGTATTTCTGACAGAAAATTTTGACACCTGGCCCAGTAGAGTACTTCTGACAGTGGTTAGACACCTGTTCCAGTACTGCACTTCTGACAATGGTTAGACACCAGGTCCAGTACAGTACTTCTGACAGTGGTTAGACACCTGGTCCAGTACAGTACTTCTGACAGTGGTTAGACACCTGGTCCAGTACAGTACTTCTGACAGTGGTTAGACACCTGGTCCAGTACAGTATTTTTGACAGAAAAGTTAGACACCTGGTCCAGTACAGTACTCCTGACAGTGGTTAGACACCTGGTCCAGTACTGCACTTCTGACTGAAAAGTTAGAAACCTGGTCCTGTACATTAATTCTGAGTGAAAAGTTAGACACCTGGTCCAGTACAGTACTTCTGACAGTGGTTAGACACCTGGTCCAGTACAGTATTTCTGACTGAAAAGTTAGACACCTGGTCCAGTACAGTACTTCTGACAGTGGTTAGACACCTGGTCCAGTACAGTATTTCTGCCTGAAAAGTTAGATACCAGGCCCCACTTGTATAAAACATCTCAACTTGAGATTTCCTCAAGTCGAGATTTTCCTCAGCTAATATCTCCTTGAAAATATCTTGTATGAAAATTCCTCAAGGAATTTCAGGACATCCTAGCCGATGCCTTCCTCCTGTTCCTTGAGAAAATTTTATACAAGCCGTTTTTGAGGAGATATCAGCTGAGGAAAATCTCGACTTGAGGAAATCTCAAGTTGAGATGTTTTATACAAGTGGGGCCTGGTCCAGTACAGTATTTCTGCCTGAAAAACTAGACACTTGGTCCAGTACAGTATTTCTGCCTGAAAAGTTAAATACCTGGCCCCACTTGTATAAAACATCTCAACTTGAGATTTCCTCAACTCGAGATTTTCCTCAGCTAATATCTCCTTGAAAATATCTTGTATGAAAATTCCTCAAGGAATTTCAGGACATCCTAGCCGATGCCTTCCTCCTGTTCCTTGAGAAAATTTTATACAAGCCGTTTTTGAGGAGATATCAGCTGAGGAAAATCTCGACTTGAGGAAATTTCAAGTTGAGATGTTTTATACAATTGGGGCCAGGTCCAGTACAGTAATTCTGAGTGAAAAGTTAGACACCTGGTCCAGTACAGTACTTTTGACAGTGGTTAGACACCTGGCCCAGTACAGTATTTCTGACAGAAAATTTTGACACCTGGCCCAGTACAGTACTCCTGACAGTGGTTAGACACCTGGTCCAGCACAGTACTTCTGACAGTGGTTAGACACCTGGTCCAGTATAATATTTCTGACTGAAAAGTTAAACACCTGGTCCAGTACAGTACTTCTGACAATGGTTAGACACCTGGTCCAGCACAGTACTTCTGACAGTGGTTAGACACCTGGTCCAGTACTGGACTTCTGACAGAAATGAAATGATGTTGTTATAGCTTGTGCCCAGTCCTGTTGCTGGTAATTATGGCAATAAAATATATTTGAATCAAATGGACTTATTGCCAGACATTGGCTTAATATTGAATAGAGATCTATAAATATTGCCTCAAGCCTAGTGATCTCTCTCTCTGACTCTACCAGGTTGAGCATATATATGATTGACCTATATAATGCAGGGTACAGTGAAACCTCACCTAACGACCACCTCAAAATTACGACCACCCCGCTATTACGGGCACTTTTTTTCAGTCCCGTTTTTTTCCACTATATATCTTTGTATTGGTCGCTTCAGTATTACGACCACTCTGCTATTCCGTATTACGACCACTTCTTACAGTCCCAACGACCTCTTATTAACGATAATTGACTTCACAATTACGACCATGGTCTGACCAGTGATTAAAGTTTACCTGGTGGGCAGTGAACCGCGAACATGTGTGTCGTTCATGACCATTGTTTTCGTCACGGGTTACCGACACTGTCACCAGGTGGCGTTTAACGAAGTAAACATCATTATCGGATTAACTTGGCCTACCCGTCCGAAACCGTGTGCTAGACACGTTTTAATAGCGATCTGTTGTTTGTTAATTATATATTGATAGATCGGTAGGTATGCTGTTGAACACCTTAGAAGCCCTGCATACCCAAAAGTGAATAATGTAGTCGTTTCAGCCGATATTCCTTGGCTCCCACGCGCACACGTTGTCGAGGGTTTTTAACTGTTTTTGTAGCAATGTTACACTCTCAATATTGTTTGAACAATAAAAAACGTGTATGTGTTCCAATTTTTTTACGACACATTTTCTCTGTCACAAACCTCCGATGAACTTAATCAAGCAATGACGAAACCAAGGAAACGAAACAAGCTATCGCGATCGGTAAAAAGGACGTATGAAAGAGGAGGCTGTCCAGATCCGTAGCTCTTCGCAATATTGTGCACTGGACTCTGTTTTTTCAAGTGTTGTACTGAGTGATACACTGATAAAGATAATGTTTTTGCGAATTTAAGTAAAAAATGAAGCGTTGAAAGACTTTATAGTGACTTCATTAAAGTTGTTACAATTACTGGGTAAATGTGTTCGTAAATTTGTGTGAAATAGTTGCAAAATTAACATTAAATTCCAATTGAACTTAAAATGGATTGTTTGTTTCCTTTCATTCAATGTTTACAATAGTAAATAAACATGTATATTATGATATAAACTAAGGAATATATACATAATTATTCTTCTGTCAATTCAGCAATTTTGTCTTTTTTACATGCATTTCATAAAATTCAACATTTTAGTTTATTATTATAGTTATTATTGTTGAATAATATACATGTACATTACTTAATGATATATATACTCTTTATTTTAAACAGAGTTACGGTTCTTTGTGGTCAATCTGATCCACCTCACTATTAAGACCACCTCGCTATTAAGACCACTTTTGTCCAGTCCCCAAAGTGGTCTTAATAGCGAGGTTTCACTGTATATGTTAGTGTGTGTGGTTATGTTTTACAATTAAGAATATTTATCATCTGTTCAGGAATTTCCATCATTATATTTATATATGTATTTTGAGGAAGTGTCTCCTCTTCTGATAAAGCCTGGTATCATTAAAAATCTTGATGTCAAGTGGGTTACTAAATTTTTTTTTAAAAGGGTGATTCAGAATAAGATATATATCATACAATTTGTGAAAGACCATGATTCATTTTCTTGATGATAATTTTATATGTAATTATATGGTATATATAGAATAAAAGGTATCAGGATCTATTTCTGTTGACTGGAGATACTTGTACAAGTCTCCTGAAGTTGACATACTTTCATTTGCTCATTCGTACTTTCGAAAGGATTTTAGATATCTTGTTGTAATCTTAAAAGTGTATTACTCATATTTTCTTCTAATTATGAAATTTTAGAATTATGTCATGATCACTAAACATTCAGTTTGTATCGTTAGTTAAATTGTTTAAAATATTGCCACAATTCATCTTTGTAGCATTATCTGGTTTGAACCTGACAGGAAGATAAGACATTTAATCTTCCTGGGAGGATTAAGATAAAATAAAAAAATCCAATCCCCATAAAGTATATGCCCCACTAATAATTATCCTTTGTCAATAGTTAGAACAGGAAGGGTATGATAAACAGTTGAATGCCCTTATTGGGCCTGAGGGGGTGGAGGGGGGGGGGGTAGAGGTAGAGTATAATGAGCAATTTATATCCCCGGTTGGGGTTTTGGTTGGGGTGGGGAAAATGTGTGGATTGGAGGTCAAGGAGGAAGGAGTATAATGAATGATTTATATCCCTGTTTGGGGTTGGGGTTGGGGTGGGGGTGGGGGTGGGGGTGGAATGGAGATCAAGGAGTAAGCAGTATAATGGATACTTTGTTTATGGTTCATGATAAGATTTTGTTTAAGTCACTCACTCTATGCCTTTAGTTTTAAAAACTGATATAACAAGGGCCATTGATTTATGTTAAAACCTAGTTATAGAATGATTTATTTAAACCAAATCCTACCAATTTAGTTACGACATGTGCCAGATGAAGTCTTCCTCATCCCATTGACAAGAACTGAATTCCTGTTAGTGTGACTGGGTTTTGTGTGCTGAACTAAAGGTTAGAAATTATCTGCATGGCTTATCTTTGTATTTTCAGGAAGTCAAAAATGAGGCTGCTGAACGAGCCATTGATGAAGACTTCTCCACTTCAGAGGCCAAGAAACCGGTGAACCGTAACAAAAACCGGTATCGAGATGTCAGTCCTTGTGAGTGTTTTAGCCCTATCATATTTTTCTGACAGATGTCATACATCATACACATATATATATGTTGTAGATTATTTTATTGGGGTGCAAATTTTACCTTATGAACTTAAGCTCTATGTATATATATTCTAAACCCATTTCACAGGTTTTGATGAAATACTGGATGTGTATGTATCAGAACAAACCATTTTACATTTTCCAGGCATGGTATCAGCTGTGATTTTTAGCATATGTGATACACAATCATTTTACAAAAAAATCTCTCTTTTCTATCATTTTGAGATTTTATATTAATTAAAAGTGTAAAATTTTGATTCATAATACGATATTTTGATCTATAAGTTTACAAAAATATGCAAATCCTGATCAGAAAAATTAAATTTTAAAACCAGATAAAATAACCTGCTATACAGATTATGCAGAAGTATAGAAATAATTTGATTTCATGAAGAATTACATTCTGGGCAAATTTTGTAAGCAAATAGCTTATAATTAGTTCAAATTTTAGTGGATAGCCAGGTGTTTAGAAGATTAAGTGTGCCTAAGGTATTTGATGTAGTTTTACAGTTGAAAAAAGTCATATTCAGAACTTTTTTTGAAGAATGTAGCTAGTTCCTTTGTTTTCTGTTAGATTTTGGATAGTTGTATGACAACGTGGTATATGTAACGTACTTTCACCTTTTGCTTGTATGTGAGATTTTGATTCAGGGAATGAATGTGAAAAGTTATGGAGTTACTTATCTGAATGAGTTCTCTGGTTTCCTCCCCACAGTTAGACCCCTTGTGTGCTTCCATTTTGAACCCCATGAGGGATTAATATTAATATAAGTTGGGAATGATGATGAAGATGTTGATGATAATGATATTGCCTGTTTATGATGATGATAATGATGATGATGATGATGACGATGATGACGATGACGACGACGACGGTTGTGTGGGTGTGTGTGAGGATCTGTATGAGTGAGAAAGAATAAGTATGTGTGAGAGTATATTTCAGGACCTTGTAATATAATTGAAAAAAATGCTTGAAAAAATAAAAAGATATAAAAAAATATAAATCCCCCACCTATTTTTCATTTGTTGTAAAATAAGAAAGTTTGATGTGAAAGAAAGTTTGCATAGGAGAATTTAGATATATATTCATTTATTCATGGTTTTGAAAAAAGTGATGGAGAAGGAGTAAGGTAGTAGAAGTATGACATTTGTGATATATCAGTCTTGGATGCCTGTTTTACCATAGTGAGAAAACTTACTATTTCGTTCAGTAACTCAATTCTGCAAATTTTTTTGAAAAAATTTCCAGAACTCGCCTATAAAAATAATTCTACAATGATACTGGTTTGTTAACAGATGATCACAGTCGAGTTGTTCTTCACCGTGGAGAGACAGATTACATCAACGCCAGTCTTATAGAAGTAACAGAGGCAAATCGACACTACATACTTGCTCAGGTATGTACCGTAAATTTGTGGGAATAGTGCGCACTTGGGTATACTGCGCAGGCACTCTTCCAGACTCTCAGCAATTCCATGAGACAACATTGCACAGCCTGTATCAATGCCCAAGGCGGACATACATATTGTTGACTGACTTTTGATTTTCCTTTTATAGGGGTACCTTCATTAAATAGGGAATAGAAATTGTAAATTTTATGAAATTACATCTAGCTACATTTTGTTTAATTGCAATTTTCACAAACTGAAAAAATCAGTAAAAAATCAGGCCCTTTTTTTTTTATTTCTTACAAAAAATGTATCGGAAGTTAGATTTGCACTTCTTGTCACGTGAGTTTGGTTCCTGAGTAACATTGATTTTCCATTTACAGGGTCCCTTAGAACACACGTCCGGCCATTTCTGGCAGATGGTTTGGGAACACAAATCCAAAGCTGTTATAATGCTCAACAAACTAGTTGAAAATGGATATGTAAGTAAATCAAGGAGGTAATTAGTACTCTTAATATCAAATGGACCCTGACAATATCCTCCAAATATTGCATGTTTGCCAGCATTAAGAAACATGGGATATTATTCAACAGGTCAGATTTGTATTCTAAACCATCAGGTATCAATTTCACATAAATGACCAGCAAATTATATACTGAAGTTTTACAATATTTTTCTACTATGCTGATAAAGCAACAAAATTAGTCTTTCTTACAAGAAAAGGAATAGATATTAAGTTCCAATTGATGTACAGTTTACAAAAATAAGCACCTGTTCAACAAATTTGAAAGAGTAATGCAAAGGGAGGAAATGAAGGGATGGGGTTAAGTGAGGGTTTGAAGAATACTGGTTCAAGTAGTTCAACATTGGATAACATTTATCATACCAAACCACCATCAGGATGTAGCGATTAGTATTGGAGTGTTTTAAGTATTTGAGTTTGATGAAGTTTGGTTTTATGTTAGATTGGTTGATATCTGATGGCAAAAGATGTTTGATTCCAGCATTAGTTATTGTACAGAACTAGTGTTTAATCTTCATATAGCTGTCATAATTTTAAAATATTAAAAAAACATTATGATATTAAATATTCAAAATCATCATCATTGATCATGAATATTTACAATCTGGAAACCCTGTTATTGATCCATATCTAGTGATAAGCCATCCCTGAACATCACACTTGTAATGAATACTTTAACAAGGATGTGAGGGTTTCTGTCAGATATTGTGTATTGGTTAAAATGGACTGATTTGTATTAGGACTTTTATGTTTCAGGAAAATATTTACCATTTCAGAGGTAATTTTGCAAATTAATGAAACCATTTGTGATTATTAGAAAGTATTAATTGGAGGCGGAGCTTATTATGGATTCTAGATTTAATATATTAGTGTACAGACCAAGAAATCAAACAAGTAATTACTTTTATGGTACTGTTTGATCCCACCACATTCAATATCAGAAAAATTAGTATAAAATGAACACACTTTGGTTCTTTTTAGAAAAAGTGTCACCCTTACTACCCTCAAAGTGGGTTAGAAGAGGAGATTGAATACGAGGATGTTGGGCTCAAGGTGTTGCTGTTAGACGAGTCGTATCTCAACTATTACACTGTACGGAAGATAGAACTGGAAGATATGGAGGTATATAGCTAACATTATACAAGTAACGTTTGTAAGATAGATGATATCAGTTGCTTTGCTCCCAACCATGTCTAATCATATGGTGTCCATCTTGCAACTTGATTACTGCAGGGGGCCTTAACTAAATTTGTGAAATGATTTCAAAACTGTCATAATTAAGCATTATGTTGCTTTGCTTTGTGCTTCAGTATTTTGTTAAATTTAACCAAAAAAATTTTCAAAGCTGTTTTTTGTTGAAAAAAGTCTAGAACATTTGAGAAACTTTAGCATAATGAAACCCTGTCTCTTGGTGTGCCACTGACAATTTGTCTTGGTGGAGGTTGGGGTATTTTTCCTGTGGATTATAGTTCTGGTTTCTCAAACTAGAAAATTATCTTAAACGTAACTTAATTAGTAAACTATTTCTTTCAGAGGTTAAAGTATAATTTAATTATACATGTACCTTGTTTCAAAGAAAACACAAGCAAAGAAATTCTTTATGGAAGATGTGATTGGTTTTGTACTTTGATAAAATCTTTTGTGTTTTGTCCTTTGAATGATAGAATATTTATTTGTATGATAGCATGTTTGTGTTTTGTCCTAGTCTGGAGATACCAGAGAGGTGCTTCATTATAACTACATTACATGGCCGGATTTCGGTGTACCATCTTCACCGCATGTCTTCCTCAACTTCCTGATGGTGGTACGGGAAACAGGAGCTCTAGATGCTGATGTGGGTCCACCCGTAGTCCACTGTAGTGCTGGCATCGGCCGCTCCGGCACATTTTGTCTCGTCGACAGTTGCTTAGTCATTGTAAGTGATCAAATAACAAGTAAATTACAACATTGTTGAGCAAAAAGTAGATAATAAATTCATTTATTCAAATGTATTACAAGCATCCTTCAGGCCAGTGCCCTTCAGGTCAGTACAACTGGGGAAATTAAGAAAATCTTAAAGTGACAAATAAGGATCGATTCCTGAGTATCAGATTTAGAAGTTAGTACTATGGATATGTTGACGATATAGGAATTCATTTTGAATGATAATACTTTCGTATATATCCTACAACATGAGCAAATGGCCAAGTCAAAATTTATTTTACCGTAAAGAGCATATAAGTGTTTCTTCTGGACTGGAGAAGATGTGGGTGGGTTTTTTACTGGACATTGGCCTTTTGACAGATAAATATGTATTGATAGTTGATGAATTTGTATAAATCTAATTGTGGTCATTTTCAGTAAAAGTTTGTGGTTGTCTGACAAATTAGCATTAATTTTGCATTGTAAATCCAGATTTATTCATGATGCATTGGGTAAGTAGTGGTAACTGGATTAGCCGGTCTGATCCATTCTGCATGTTTTCTCAGTAATATTAAACCTATGGTCAAACTTTGCTATATCAGGTAGAGAAGAATCAGGATCTAAATGCAGTGGACTTACGACAGCTATTGCTCAAGATGCGGACTTGTAGAATGGGTCTTATCCAGACTCCAGACCAACTTCGTTTTTCATACCTGGCCATCATCGAGGGTGGTCACCGAATCCTTGCCAATGAAGATTCCACTCTGTCAGTCCTTGAGGGATATATGCAGGTGAGACTTTCAGAATGCTGTACCATTAAATGAAATATAATCTGTCTTATAATTAGAATTTTTTCATGCATTTTTTTCTTGGTTTACCTCAGGGAGAAGTAGTGGATGTAAAATTTGATATATTTTGTAACCTCTGACCTAGCAGAATTTACATATTGATAAGGATAGATGGCTGTCACCTTTTACTCGGTGATAATTAGGGACCTTTGTCCTTGGTCAGTGTAGTGTTATATCAACCTTGTAGAAAAATATTGACAGAGGATGGATATAATTATAGCCTAGAATATTCAGACAAACACATGATAATTAACAAATGGGTTTATTTTCTCAACAGAATAAAAAAGTTCTCTGAAACATGTATATTACATTTCCCGATCCATATGGTCTGGCTGTTCTAAATTTAGAAACATGGAGTCAATATATTATTTATTGACCTGCAGGTGACTATCTTATACCCAATCAAAACAAAACAAATCTTTACCTTTGTTATATATATAAAGATATATACTTGTCAACCTATTTATGTGTAATTGACCTTTATGTGTCTGATAACGTATCTATTTGTATTTTGGGAAGGAGCCTAGTAAAGAAGCAATGCCTCCCGCACCCCCAACAAGGACCACAAGTTTGTCCCCCTCCCATGGACATGCTGGTAGGGCACCTCCACCACTCCCACCACGCACAGGGCTTCCAACGATAAAGGCTGATGGAATTGATAGATCAGCAGACTTTGAAATGTCGGATTCAGACTCGCTCATTGACGAGGATGATGATGACAATGAAGAATTTAATCTGTCAGAAAGTGAAGCTGATGATGAGGATGACTTTATGGATATGAAGGAAATACTGAAGAATAAAAAAGAGGATAGAGTGAACGGTTTAGAGGAAGAAATTCGGACAGAACCTCCCCATGAGGAGAAAATCCCATATGTTGAGGAGCAGAATAATACTAGGTAATCATAACCCCTTATTTCATAACTATTTCATTCTATCAAACTCTTAACCATTGTGTAACATGAAGATTTGTTTGTGACTTCTGGCTTTGTAGATGAGTTTTTGACATTATTGATGATTTCTGAAACTGTATGGTACTTTTTGCTGAAATAATCAGTGACTTCTGACCTTGTATGAGACCTTTTGACATTATCAGTGACTTCTGACCTTGTATGTGACATTTTGACATTATCGGTCACTTCTGACCTTGTATATGACCTTTTGACATTATCAGTGACTTCTGACGTTGTATGTGACCTTTTGACATTATCAGTAACTTCTGGTCTTGTATGTGACCTTTTTTACATTATTGGTGACTTCTGACCTTGTATATGACCTTTTGACATTATCAGTGACTTCTGACCTTGTATATGACCTTTTGACATTATTGGTGACTTCTGACCTTGTATGTGACCTTTTGACATTATCAGTGACTTCTGACCTTGTATATGACCTTTTGACATTATTGGTGACTTCTGACCTTGTATGTGACCTTTTGACATAATCAGTGACTTCTGGTCTTGTATGTGACCTTTTGATTTTGACATTATCAGTAACTTCTGGTCTTGTATGTGACCTTTTTTATATTATTGGTGACTTCTGACCTTGTATATGACCTTTTGACATTATCAGTAACTTCTGGTCTTGTATGTGACCTTTTTTACATTATTGGTGACTTCTGACCTTGTATATGACATTTTGACATTATCATTGTATGTGACCTTTTGACATTATCAGTGACTTCTGACCTTGTATATGACCTTTTGACATTATCAGTGACTTCTGACCTTGTATGTGACCTTTTGACATTATCAATGACTTTTGACTTTGTATATGACATTTTGACATTACTGGTGACTTCTAGCCTTTTATGTTTGTTTGTGACCTCAATCAAAAGTATGTTGAATAGTTATTTCAGAAATTTACAGTATGAAACTTCTTGTATACATCATTAATTTTACTGCTTGGAAATTTGTCAAAAATGAAGGCATAAAAGAATTCACACATGCCAAACACTTAACTTTAAATGAAGTTTGTAGCCTTTCCTAAATTCTTTTTTTATATGTTCAACAGTGGTTACGAGATAAGACGGAGAAATAGAGAAGAGAGGGCAAAGAAGACGCGCGATCAGGTCGATAGGATGCGACAAAAACAGAGAGACAATGAAATGTGGAAAAATCGGAGGTCTTACCTCCAGCCAGTTGCTATAGGGCTTTCAATCCTCCTAGGGGGACTGCTATTATATCGTTATTACTGGTCTACATACTGATCGTATAGAAATATTTTTATATTGTTATCAAAATCTGTGTTAACTGTCCAACATGGGCTCGACAAGGAAAGTAGGATATTTCAGGACTGTTGAATTGACTCGATCTTGGAAAAGAGGTTTGGAACAGGAAAAGTAATTGAAATAAAATTTTATCTGCATGAAAGAATGTAATCAGTTTTTTTAAAAAAAAAAAAGTATTGTTATATTATATTGTTTTAAACAGGGAAGTTGTTGTCTTGAGCTGAGTGTACTTCATAGTGGTATTCAAAATCACCAGGGTTTTACTATCAGATATATAGCAGAAATATAAAGAACCTGGATTTTTTCTTAGCACAATCTACTGAAAGAAGATGTCAAAGGTTTATTCGAACAATCTTATTATTTCTGTTCTAGAAAGCTCTGAGCATGAATACAACAGGATTAAGTAGGGATGGAGGATAACATAATAGTGTTTAAGTATCTTCAATATTTTTTCATCCCATATTGCCGTACAGAAGCCAGTTTGTTAATATGTATTCAGTGCATCAAAGGCAAGTTTGATGTTTTTTCATTAATTACGACAATGATTAATTATATGTAACTAATTAAGATACACTGTTTATATTTTTACTTTTTTTCTCTCTAATTGCTTTGCATATCTATATTTTTCTAGTTTTCCCTTCTGCTCTTTACAATAAAATATAGTGGGTCTCAGTAACTAAAAGCCTGATTAACAAAAGAGATTTGTTTCCTTTTTTTTTTTTTTTTTAAGAAATCCTTACATATTTTTAATGACATCAATTTAATTATCATGTTTAGGTCACTTAGCAAAAATATTTAAATTGCATTTTGCAATTTTGATATTTTTACTTTAACAATTATCAATAAACACAGAAAACCAACAAAAATATTTTTATCAGTCATATGAAATATTTACCACATAAAACCAACATGAGCAGTTGTTTCAGCATGCATTGTTACATTTCAACATTTCATAGAAAAAACTACAGTCCATGTTTTCATATGAATTTTGATATGGCGTTGTCTTTGGGTTATTTGGAATTAAATATTTTGTTAAAAAAACACACAAAAGAATGTAAATGATAAACGAGAACACTCAACAGTTGAAGAATTGTTATTGGTATGAGGCATCCCTGGGGGATGATAATTCAATATTGTATCATGAAAGTCAATTACTGTTCCACTCAACTTCTAGTCATGTTCAATGAACAAATGACAGAGTGAATAACAAACGATGAAAAATAGATCCAAATACTTGATAAGAAAGAAAAAATCTTCAGAACTCAAGTTAAAATGAGCTCATGGTTGATATAATATGCAGGCATGTGGAATGGCATGTTTATTTTTGATGGAAAAACTTTTGATATTGGTTTTAGAACCAAGATCTCTTTATAACAGATACTCTAGGCTTCATGTGACTGGGACCAGAGGTATTCTGAATGGAAGCCTTTCATGCAACTTTTTATACTAATTTTTTTCATTATACAGCTTCACCATGCATGTCAACCACTATAATCTAAAAAGATCAGAACTGTTTCTATTATTTTTTTGTATGATTTTCCACAGAGAATTATGTCAAATATCGTTTCAGACTCTAGTAATGTTTTCAATGTCTTTAATCGCAAACAACAGATTAATAACGAAATTTTCTGAAATACTTTCAGTTCTACAAAGATAAAACTGTTAAGTAACAGTGGTTTACTTTAACTTACAAATTTTTGACCATGTCCTTTGTTTTATAAAATGTTACCACTTTTATTTTGTTTCGATGGAATTTGCTTTTCTAAGTGTTGAAAAGTTCTTTGACTTATGGATTTAATTTCAAAGAAATAAATTTATTTTGTTTGTGAATAAAGTTGAAATCTGTCAGAATCAAAGTAATTGAAATCTCACTGTTTGAGATTTCATAAGAAATTAATTTATCTGCCTCAAAATTCCGTCCACATCAATTTACAGTCTTTGACCGTACAAATGACTTTTGTGTAAAATTCTAACGATTAAGTTTGGATTTTTAAAAAATGAAATTGTATATGGTTTAGTTCACACAATTGCTTTGATTTCATAGGCAAATAATCATAGAAAAAATGTGCTCTGTTACAGGCCATGGTATTCCAATCAAGCACAAGCATTGGCAGACAGATATATTTATCATAACTGGGTATATATACACAATGTATATTTTATAGAGAAATGACTTATTACTTTAGTCAAACACAAACATTTGGGAAATATTAGTTCAGTCCCTATAGTCCAGTTATGTGTAAGTTGATAATGGAACGACTAAATTTTCGGAAGTCTGTATAATCTTTAAGATACAGGAAGTGTTCTGAAATCAACTTAAGATCATGGCATACTCAATTCACAAAGTAATTACAAGTTGCTATGGTTGATAATCTTTATTGACATACAAGAAACTTTTTCTTTTTGATAATGCATATCATTGATCATTTTCCAGATTAAATATGATTTCTTAGATTGAAATTGTTTATCTCTTGAAAGATATATTTTCTTGGTATATATTCTGTAATAGAAAACATATCCCAAATTTGATACAAGTATTTTTTTTGTGGGTTGGGGGGTGGGGAGTTCTCTCAAACAATACCATGATAGTGTGGTATGGTAGTTTTTCCCTCTACTACATTCTATAAATAATGAATAAATAGAAAAACCATGCATTTAATTTTGATGTACAGAGGAATATATTTTGCTCACAAATAAATCCAATGATGTTCATTGTGATAAAATATTTGATTCACTGAATTAGAGCTCCCCAAATTCAGAAAAATGTAAGATGCTATAGGATGTGTTGACTCACTGTTATCAGTAGGTTTCCCTCTTCTGTGTAGTATGTATCAGTGTGCTAAATACTCTACCTTCTCTTCAGTAAGCACATTATCAAATTCTGTAGCAATTAAAAACTACAGTCTTTAAATCCATGTTTTATTTTTTTTTATTAAATAGTCTATACCATAATACTATATAAACTAGTTGATCTGACTATACCTATGCTTGAGAAGTGTACCCTTGTATTTATCATAGAATAAGCCCACCGTACTTATTGGTTTCATAACATCTAACTCTGTATGGATGGGCTGATCAGAAGACATTGACACCTCACATTTCTCTGCAGTTCTACTGTAACAGCAATAGATATGGGTTATAGGTGTGGGCTAATTGCCAGATATTATGCCTAATCAAAACACCTTCTAGCTGTTAAAAAACAGCACACACTCTTCAAAGGTTACACTGTATTGAATTACTGTATATAGATGGTCACTTCACAATTTCTGTAATATTGTGGTGGGTAATTACAGATCAGGTCTACTCAACTTATACTCACATTCATTAAATTCTGTAATTGCATGCAATTAATTAGTTTCAACATAGCGAGAAATTACTGTGTAGACAAATATCTAATTCGTAGTAGTTTTAACTTATATAATAGGTTCAACCTAGAGGTTGCAACATCTGCCAAGTAAGAATATTTTGTATGCATGCCATTTAAGTATTTATATTTTAATTTTATTTTCATATATATATGAAAATTCACTTAATGCCATGCAATGGTTTAAACAATAGATTCATAGTTTGTTAATACATGCCAACTGCTTTTTTCTTAAAATTATTTTTCTATTACAAAACTGTGTGAAAATGGATTGAATTGTTAATTTTGAAAAATGTTTACAACGATTTAACAAGGCTATCAAAAAGAAAAGAGAGAGATAAAAAAATGGATAGTAAATAAACACTGAGCAGATTGAACTTAAAATCCCAGAATGTCTTAAATACATTGTGTAAGAACATTAAATCAATAGTGTACATCAGAAATAAGATACAATGTGCTTGATAGTATCTTTAAAGCAATTGCCTCTGGTAAACAGAACATACTCTGACCAAATTTTCAAGTGACTTTGACTTTCAAAGTATTCAACAAATACCATTGAAATGAGATGAATGAAATATTCATAATAAAAATACAAAATACTGTATTTATCCTGCAATAAGCCAGCCAAGAGGTCTGCTTATTACCTCTTTCTGAAGGTCCTGGGGTGGGCTTATTACAGGACTGTGATATTACACTTGTTATACTAAACAACAGTAGATCTTGGTTGTTTAGGTACCAGGATTATTATGGTGAAATAAAATGTTTGAGATGAAGTACTGTCCCTAGCTCTGAACAGCCTGACGAGCCCCAATCTTTTAAATGTTTCCCTACAACCCTGAAGTATCTTTATTAGGACTCCTCCTTTAAGTGCATGGGCACCTATTCAGTGTTCAGACCTTGCCATATGAGACAGCAAGGCTTCAACATTGTGATTGTATGAATTTAAAATTGTGTTGGTCTGTGTGTATTTTGTATATAGATGTATTATTGAAGAAGTTGGAATTTTTTTTCAAATTTGAAACTGTCCTGTGATTGTTATAGGATTGCCCACCAAAACGTGTGATCTGGAGTATGCATGCTGGGTAATTCTTGTGGGAAACATGTTTACGTACTGTACACCTTAACACTGCCATCATTCTTATTCCTGACTGCAGTATCACAAAAATTTGTCCCATTTTTTTTTTTTTTTTTGTCTAGTTTTCTTCCTCCTTAATTTTGCATTGAATTATTTTTATTGTCCAGTTATTGTGAAAATTATTTTATTTTTGATGTTCAGCTGTTGTGAAAAATTACTCTTAATGTCTTGGTTTTGTGAAAATTATTTCTGCTGTCCAGTTGTGGTGAAAACTATTTTTAAAGTCTCTCTACATTAGTCCTTCTGGTTACCTGTATATAACAGGTGCCATGTGCTACTATTTTTTTCCATAATTTTCTCAATATTGTTTTGTCATTCAGGTGATACTGAGGTATCAGCTGTATATCTGAATGGAAATAACATGTTTGTGTTATCTTTTGACGAAAATTTGATGAGACATCTGTGAGATAAGAATATGGTATCTGCTAGAGATGGAAGTAAGACATCTAGGCTATCTTAATGGAAACAAGTTATCAGCAAGATATCAAATATAAATTGACCTTTTACAATTTAAGTTCAGCAAATTTCAAAATCTATTGAATATATATGCCACTAGACACCATTGTGTCTTTATTATTTATTTTGATATGTAGATCTTTTCAT